GCCCGGAGGCAGGGATTTCACCTTATCTATTCTTCCTACCTCATTTCCAAAACGGTGCCATGGATTAATGAAGATGTGGTATATAGACACAATGGAATACTATGCAGCTGTACGGAATGACGAAATCATGCAATTTACTGCAACCTGGTAAGAACCAGAAGATACCATGTTGAGTTAAGTAAGTCAGAAGAAGAAGGCCAAATATAGGATGATCTCTCTTATCTATGGTATACGAAATATTGGATGAGGAAACGTATTGTGGAAAAGGAGGGTGCCTAGATCACCCCTGACCCCAGTGTTTGGAAAGGACAGAGAAGGAAAGAAATCAAGGAAGGGTAGAAGAAAATGGGAAGTAATGGATGAACAGACATCAGGGTTTCAGTTATACTGGTGATGTGGGTGAGTGGCATAGCCATATGTCCAAAACAGAGACTCTAACAAAACGAAAAACATGAGATCTAAGCTGCAACCACTGAAACTCTGTAATGTGCCTGTCACATTGACAGGCAGGAGAGGATGGGAGTTGGGGGTGGGGAGAAAATATAGGAACACTGGTAGAGGGAAGTTGACTCTGATGGTGGGATTGACGTTAAACTATTCTATGTCTAAAACTCAAGCATCAACAACTTTGTAAATCACAATCCTTTCATCAAAAAGAAAAAGGTGCCTCTGAAATTTCAATACATAAACTCTCAAATTTCCAGTACCAGCCTAGAGTCCCAGAGTTGTAAGCTATGAAGAACATGGAAGGTTCTCAACGCATCCGCTGTCTCCTACAGTCACAAACACTATGGAACTCCAATGTGCAGCAGCCTTTAAGGGAACTGTGCTTATTTAATTTCTAGCTCTGAATCCCAGGGAGAAGGTCCTGTGCCTTCTACCTCTATCCTGAGATTTTAGTCACTATTAACAGGGGTGATTAAGCCCGAGAATCTGTGAAGCTGGGCAATGCAGGTCCCTTTGGTACTTTGATACACAAAGGTGCCTTCGATGTGATCCTAGCCTGCTTTCAGCTACTAACTTCCTCCGAGGAAATGATGCGTCCCCATGCCATGAGTATAAATGTGAACCTGTCTTTATGAAATATCTACTATGACTGAAGGGGACAGACATCAAAGAGCCCAAATACCACATGAGGAAATAAATCCCCCAATTTGGAGGAATATTTATGGCCCTTTTTGTGTATGTCACACTGAAGTATAAAGTTTTAATCAACATTTTGTGTACAAAGTACACAAATAATGAGGGAATCTAAGAAATAGAGTGCCTCACACACAATTTGTACATTTTCCTTTTGTTATAGTCCAGGAGACCAGAACCTCACAAAACAGACAAATTATTCTCCTTCAGAAATAACTACGATAACCAACTGAAAAGTCCGTTGTTAGGTTACTCATCACTAAGATCTGACCCTGTCTTAAGTCCCTGCCCACCTAACTTACTGTCCCTTGATTTATTCTACAATACCTTTTAGCATTTTATTCTTTGTTAGTAATTCCCCATCTGCATCCACCTGTTAAAAAAATCTATTCAAGGTCTAATGCCAAAGTCCATGAAAGCTTCCCTTGATCAGCTCCACCCAAGATCTCTTCTTGTCATTCTCAGTTTTCATAATGGATCATCAGAAATTGAACGAGCTTTCTAATCCTGATGATCAAGCATACACTCTGAAAGTAGCAAAGGTTAGGGGCAGAGAGACAGTAGCAGGGGTTAGGCATCCACCTTATAGGTGGCCAATTCTGGTTCAATTCCCGGAGCCACATATGTTCCCCAGAGCACTACCAGGAGTGATCTCTAAGCACAGAACCAGGAGCATGCCTGGTATGGTCCCCAAAACAAAACAAAAGGAAATATCTAAGTATCTTAGCACTGCACAATACCTAAGACTACTGGGTATTCTACTAAAAAGATCAGCATTGCAGTAAACCAGATAAAGGAACTTCCCTCTCACGGCTCAGATCAGCCCTCTGAATGTGAAACTAATGCAGAAAGACTCAAGTGCAATGTACAGGCCAGGAAACCTGTTCTCCAGAATTTTAGGAACATCCAAAAGTTGAACATAGGGGTCAGGACATCCAATCTTCAGAATCTTACAAAATTCACAGAACCATTAGAACTCCACAGACACTACTCAGTGAGTACCTTATAAATATTAATCCACTGAATTCCTGTAGTTTGAGTAGAAACTACCAAGACTAACTCATGATCATCCTGTTGTTCGTCGATTTCCTCGAGCAGGCACCAGTAACGTCTCCTTCTTCCTAGCCCTGAGATTTTAAAAGAGCCATTTCAATGCTCTTTCAGGATTAGGAGAATGAGACCCATCATTGTTACTGGTATTTGGCATATTGAATACGACACGGGAAGTTTGCCAGACTCTGCCGTGCGGGCAGGATACTTTTGGTAGCTAACTAATGAGTTAAAGACTAACTCATTTTGTGGAAAATGGAAAGGAATGAAATGCAAAGATGAAATAACCTGCTTAAATAACCACTGTACAAGGATTTGAAGCCAGAACCCAACCCCTGCTGTCTCCAGATTCAAGCGAAAACATTACTCTTGATGACCTTTGAAATAAGAGATCATTGAAAAATTATAATCACCTGTCCTTTAAAAATTAAAAAAAAAAAACCTTAACTAAAATTTCACAACTGAAAAAGGCCTCTGTGACCAGCTTCCCAGGCCAAATGCCTGCACACACAATTCTGAAGTTGCCAGTGAGCATCCCAGCTCTGGGTACATAATTTCATGGGGTTTTTCTCTCTGTCTCTATCTCTGATTCTATCTCTGGCCCACTCTCTCCTGTGGCGTCATTCCTAAATAAAACTTATTTTGCTTATAAAGGTAAAGGTAAAGGCCCTCCCGTTGATCGTCGATTTGCTCGAGAGGGCCCAGTAACATCTCCATTGGAGACTTTGTTGTTACTGTGTTTGGCATATCGAATACTCTCGGTAGCTTGCCGGGCTCTCCGAGAGGGGCGGAGGAATCGAACTTGGGTCGGCCATGTTGGCCGCTTGTAAGGCGAACGCCCTACCGCTGTGCTATAGAATTTCGACTGTCACAAGGGCCAAATCAACACAGCCACCATCACCAAAAAAAAAAAAAAAAAGTCAAGAGGTAACGAATGATTTGAAATGACAAATGAAAAAGCCACATAACACCTGGGCTTGTGTAGGCTGCAGGTTCTATTAGCATTTGTTTCCTTTAGGAACATATTATTAGGATGCTTTCTGCCAGCTTCTCAAAATGATATGGTCTTTTTTTTTTTTTTTCCAAATCTTTAAATAGCTTCGATCCAGTGCTGAGGCTTGGCCGGAGCACAAACGTCACATCTGGCCTCTTGAACAATTTTATCAGCTTCACCTTGGAGCCATACGGACGCTAAGGGTCAAGAAAGGATGCCCTGTAACGTAGCCAATCCACCCTCACCAGCAAGTAGCGCTTGCTGCAAAATAGATCCAATGAGCTCCACGAGACAGATGACAGCTGGGCACACCAGCGAGATGACAGCTGCAAGCTGACTGGGAGGGTAATCGGGGTAATGACGAGCCCACTGGTAGAACTTTCTGAGAGGATACGTTGACACACAATTCCGAGTAACATGACACTGATTTGAATGGTGGGGAGCAAGAGCAAGAAATGGAACAACCTGAATTGCTACGAGGCAATGAATGACAAGAGTAGAGAAAATATTTTGGCCTCTCTGGGTTAAGTAAGGGGCAACTGGTCAAGCTTCACTCACTGCAATGCCCAACTCGCTACAACGCAGACACCAAGAGGGGAAAGCAAAATCATTTCTAAGTGTGAAGGAAATTTTATAGCAAAAAGACTTTTAAACTTAAGACATACACTTGCTAAGATTATAGTCTGGCAAACTGCTGTCTGTGTGACACATCAAGCCAACAGGCTGAGGGTTTTTTGAGGGTTTTTTTTTTATTTGCTTTTTGGGTCACACCTGGCGATGCACAGGGGTTACTCCTGGCTCTGCACTCAGGAGTTACTCCTGGCGGTGCTCAGGGGACCATATGGGATGCTGGGAATTGAACCCGGGTCGGCTGCGTGCAAGGCAAACACCCTATCCACTGTACTATCTCTCCAGCCCTGTTCTTTATTTTTTAATGGCTTCTGGGTTAAGATTGGTTTTCTTTCCTTTTGACTCCCACCACACACCAATTTTAAAAGTTGTGGGGAAAACAATTGAGAACCAAGACTGTTTATGACCTGAAAAGTATAAAATATTTACTATGTGATCCTTTACCAAAAAAAAAAAAAGGATCCTTTTGTTAAAATCTGCATCCAAAGAAACAGTGGGTATTTTACTTAATCCATCAATAGCACACATGCACTGCTGTTTAAATCACTGAAGTTTCAGAATCATCCTCCAGCCAACAGGATGTGCTATATTAAGGCTGCGCCTACTTTACTGAGGTCTACTTTTGGTCCTGTGGCTGGTCGTATTTGCTTACTCCAGACAGAAACCAAAAAATATTTGGAAGGGAGTAAGAGGTGAAACTGACTATCAGATTTCAGGAAAGCCTACAGATCACTGACATAAATTTCCCAGTCTCTTTCAAGCCAACTCTTTCAAGAAGAGATGATGCTATTTTTCTGACACCACAAGCAAGACTTTTCATGTGTAAATTCAGTCTCTTCCCACCTCATAGAATGTCAGTTTTCAGAAGGAGTTCCAATTTTTGCTTGCTTTGTTCACTATGCATTCCTCCAAAGCCTCAAACAGTATCTGGCAAAGTGTAGGTACTAAATAAAATTTTTATATGGGACTGTGTATGTGCTAAGTAAATTTTTTTTTATATCTCACACAGTGTAGGTGCTAAGAAAAGGTTAGCACAGGAGCCTAGGAAGGTAACATTTAACCACTCAGATGGGGAATTTGAAGGTGAAAAGGTTAAATGACTTTGTACCCTTCAACAGTGCTAGAGGTGAACTCAGTCTTACTTTATAGCTGCTGCCCTGGTACATTCTAGACAGAAATGTCCCACCTGAGAGTGTAACCTTTGCTGAACTATGACAGGGTGACCACAATTGAAGATGATTTCAAATTTCTTCCTCTCAGATGATCCACTTGTTGAAAGAAAGCACACACAACTCAGCAAGATTCCGTGTAATCATCCTAGCAAACGAGTGACTTTTCCAAAGAGTGTCACTTTGTCATTAGGTACTCAAGCTTTTGTCAAATAAAAGTTAAGTGCAAAACCCTTGGTTAAGTCCTCTTCAACTTTTTTTTTTTTAATTTTTCTCAATGCCAGCCATTGAATTCAAGGCCTCGTAAAAGCAGAGACAGAAAAGATAATACTGAGGGTAGGGCATATGCCTTGCGTGTGGTTGACCAGTTGATAACAAAACCCCAGACATCCAGCATTCCATTTGGTGCCCCGAGAATTGCCAGAAGGAGCACTGCCAGAAGAGATTCTGTAGTAGAGAGTCAGGACAAACACCTTAGCATCGCCAGGTGTGACCCAAAAATCAAAAAAAGTAAGCAAAGTATACGAGCTTTTTCAGCCACGTACTTTTCATGGGGAGGAGGGGGGGGCACAGGGAGCAGGAGGGTAATTAGAGCCACACCTGGCACTGCTGCCAGAGTACTCCTGGCTACGTGCTCAGGGGGTCACTCCTGGAGATGCTGGGGTGCTCCTTTGAGGAGCTGTCAAGGAAGGAGGAAATCCAGAGTTTGAAAAGATCCCATCCCTCCCAAAAAGTGCATCTCCTGGGCATATGCCCTGGATCCATCTAAGGGTGTTTGTATTGGGCAAGGCAAATACCTTCTTCCCTCCAGCATACCCTCTGGCTCCACCCCCTTCCCTTTGAATTTTCAATGGAAAAAGTTGCTATAAAAAAAGTTGCTTATATGGGGCTGGAGTGATAGCACAGTGGGTGGGGCGTGTGCCATGCGCGTGGCCGACCCGGGTTCGATTCCCAGCATCCCATATGGTCCCCCGAGCACGGCCAGGAGTAATTCCTGAGTGCATGAGCCAGAAGTAATCCCTGAGCAACACCATGTGACACAAAAAGCAAAAAAAAAAAAAAAAAAAGAAAGAAAAAAAAAAAAAGAAAAATGCATCACAAAGAATACCCTCCCAAAAAGGTAAAACTTAGTTCAGGGTAGCCACAGGGCAAGCCACAGAAACTGGGAAAAAAGGACCGAACAGTGCTACTTATGCAGAAGTGCTGGGCTGGGCGGCGCACAGTCTGTGTGCGAAATGAAATGAATATCTCTGGGTCAAAACTTTAAAAATGACACATGCCCTTCCGGGTTTTAGAAAAAGATAGCTGGGGGGGGGGGGGGCGGGGAGGTGCAGAGTCATGAAGGAAATACTGTGGGGGGGGTGTGAAATGCAAGCAAAGTTTTTCACTGAGGACCCCCCACCGTGGAACAGCAAGAAGGAAAACCGGAAGCCAAATTAAAATAACCTGAAATCTGGACCCCCCCCCCTCCCCCATCAGATCAATCCAAGGAGTTGAGAAGCTGAATGAGGAACAGCTGAAGAGCGGCAGCCACTCCGCTGCCAACCCCACCCCACACCAACAAGGATCCTAAAATTGTCCCCACTTCCCTTCTTCCACCGAACCAGCAAAAAAAAAAAAGGAAAAGAAAAAGAAGCTACAGTGAAAAGGCAGAAGAATACAGCCATTTCTTCCAGCTTAGGGGACGCCCCTCTTGCAACCTGCCAGCCCTGCAGAGCAGCTTGTGGAGTAACTACAATCCATCCCTGCCAAGGATCCTAAAATTGTCCCCACACTCCCCTTCCATCACACAACCAGGAAAAAAAAAAAAGCTACAAGGAAAAGGCAGAAGAGTGCAGCCAGTTCCAACTTGGGGGGACGTCGGCGCCAGAGTGATAGCACAGCAGGTAGGGCGTTTGCCTTGCACGCAGCCGACCCGAGTTTGATTCCCAGCATCCCATATGGTCCCCCAAGCACTGCCAGGAGTGGTTCCTGAGTGCAGAGCCAGGAGTGACCCCTGAGCATCGCTGGGTGTGACCCAAAAAAACAAAAAACAACACCAACTTGGAGGGGACGTGGGGGGGGGGGGGGGTCTTCTTACAATTTGCAGCTCTAGAGAGCAGCTTGTGGAATCGCTTCCACCCACCCCTCCCAAGGATCCTGAAATTGTCACCACACTCCACTTCCATCACACAACCAAAAAAAAAAAGAAGCAGCAGCAGCAGCAGCTATGAGGAAAAGGTAAAAGAGTCACTTCCAACTTAGGGGAGGCCCTTTTGCAACTTGGCAGCCCTGGAGAGCAGCTTGAGGAATCGCTTTCACCCACCCCTACCTACCAAGGATCCTGAAATTGTCCCCACACAACCAGGAGAAAGGGGAAGGGAGGAGAGGAGGAGGGGAGGGGGACGGGAAGGGGAAGGGGAAGGGGAAGGGGAAGGGGAAGGGGAAGGGGATGGGGAAGGGGAAGGGGAAGGGGAAGGGGAAGGGGATGGGGAAGGGGAAGGGGAAGGGGAAGGGGGGGAAGGGAAAGGGGAAGGGGAAAGGGGAAGGGGAAGGGGAAGGGGCAGGGGAAGGGGAAGGGGAAGGGGAAGGGGAAGGGGAAGGGGAAAGGGGAAAGGGGAGGGGAGGGGGAAGGGGAAAGGGGAAAGGGGAGGGGAGGGGGAAGGGGAAGGGGAAAGGGGAAAGGGGAGGGGAGGGGGGAAAGGGGAGGGGAAGGGAAAGAAAGAAAGAAAGAAAGAAAGAAAGAAAGAAAGAAAGAAAGAAAGAAAGAAAGAAAGAAAGAAAGAAAGAAAGAAAGAAAGAAAGAAAGACTATGAGGAATAAGCAGAAGAGTGCAGCGACTTCCAACTTTGGGGGAACTGGAGGGCCCTCTTGCAACTCGCCAGCCCTGCAGAGCAGCTTGTGGAATCGCTTCCACCCACCCCTCCCCAGGATCCTGAAATTGTCCCCACATTCCCCTTCCATAACACAACCAGGAAATAAAAAAAGTAAGAAAGAAAGAAACCAAGACGCCGGGAGGAAAAGGCCAAGGCCGAAGAGTGCAGCGACCTCCCCGTTGCACCTTGCGCGCAGGGGGGAGCAGCAGCCGGAGGCGGAGCGGGGCGGGCAGCCGCGCGTTGGCCACACCTCCAAGGCGCGCCTCCCAGCCCGCTAAAATTTGAAAATAACCCTCGGTACTTGCTCTCGGGGTGGGGGTGGGGTGCGGTGGAGTGGAGTTGGGGGGCGAGACGCAGCTGAAAAGGCTTCCAGGGCGCCTGGAGACGGTGGGGGACAGAGAGAGAGAGAGAGAGGGGTGGGGGGTAGGGGGAAACAGGGAGACGAGGAGCGGCTACCGACGATCCCGGCGGGGTCCAGGGGGCTGGAGTTTGGGAAAGATTTCCCCCCCACCACCCCTACATCCCCGCGATCCTCCCCCACCCCGGGGCCGCCCCGGGCCCCGCCGACCCCGCGCGGGGAACCGGCCTTACCAACGCGAGCAGCGCAGCAGCTTCTCCAGCCGGGCGAAGGCGGCGCGGCTGTGGCTCCAGGCCCCGGCGGGCGAGCGGGCGGAGGCGGCGGCGGGCGCGGGCCGGGGCCGGTTCCCGGAGCAGGCCCGGAGCTGCCGCTTGGCCGGCATGGCCCCAGCCGCGCGGGAACGACTCGCTCGCAGCTAAGTGGCGGGGCTAGCGACCGCCGGCTGGGCGGCAAGGCGACCCGGGCTCCGCCCCCCGCCCCCGCCCCCACCTCCCGCCCCCGCTGACCCGGCGGTTCGCGCCTTCGGGCCCGCGGGGCAGCGGCGGGGCGGGGGGCGGGGGTTGCTGAAAGGCGCGCGCGGGACCCGAGGAGGCGGGGCCTGGTCGGGGCCACGCCCGCCCGGCGGGGCGGGCGCGAGCGGAGCGACGATAGGAAGTGGGCGTGGTCCGTTGACGGGGTGGAAGGGGCGGGGCCCGGGAACACCCGCCTCCCTCCCCGCCAAAGTTGAGCCCCAAGCAACATATCTGCAGGAATATTGGGGCTTCTTTCTTCTTTCTTTTCTTTCTTTCTTTGTTTTGTCCTTTCTATTCTTCCTTCCTTCTTTCTTGCTGGCTTCCTTTCTTTTTTTTTTTTTGCTTTTTGGGTCACACCTGGTGATGCACAGGGGTTACTCCTGGCTCTGCTCTCAGGAATTATCCCTGGCGGTGCTCAGGGGACCATATGGGATGCTGGGAATTGAACCCAGGTTGGCTTCGTGCAAGGCAAATGCCCTGCCTGCTGTGCTATCGCTCCAGCTCACTCTTTTTCTTTCTTTCTTTCTTTCTTTCTTTCTTTCCTTCTCTCTTTCCCTTTCTTTCCTTTCCTTTCCTTTTTCTTTCTTTTTTCTTTCTTCTCTTTCTCTCCTTTCCTTTCTTTGTCTTTTTTTCTTTCTTTAGCTTCCCTTTCTCTGTTTTACTGAATCTCTGTGAGCTATACAATTGCTGAGTTGTTCATGATTGGGTGTTCAATCATAGCATATTCCAATACCCATCCCTTCACTAGTGTACATTTCCTGCCACCAATGTCCTCCGTTTCCCTCTTGCTAGTGTCCCATCCACATTCCCACCACAGCCACAGCCTGCCTCTGTGACAGGCACTTCTCTTTCTCTCTCTGTCTCTCTCTCTCTCTCTCTCTCTTTCCTTCTCCTCATTATAGTTTGCAACAGAGGTACTGAAAAGTTATCATGTGTATTCTTTTACCTATTTTCAGTACTCAGTTCTTGTCCAGAGTGATCATTTCCAACTATCATTATCATGGTGGTTCCTTCTGTACCCTAACTGCTCTGCCCTCTTCCACTTGTGCTACACTTCCATCCATGGACCAGTCCTCCTGGCCCTTGATTTTAGACTAATACCCTGGGCAGGGCTAGAGCGATAGCACAGCGGGTAGGGCGTTTGCCTTGTAAGCAGCCAAAATGGCCAACCCGAGTTCAATTCCTACGCCCCTCTCAGAGAGCCTGGCAAGCTACCGAGAGTATCTTGGCCACACAGCAAAGCCTGGCAAGCTATCTGTGACGTATTCAATCTGCCAAACACAGTAACAGGTGTCACTT